CATATTTATACTTCCACCAGCATTGAGAAAAGTGCCTATGTCCTTGTATCTTGATGTACACTGGATGTTATCAGTCTTTTAAATATTTACTTACAGGGCATTTATTGGCCTTTTTGTATTTCTTCTGTGTACTTCAGTTTATGTTGTTTGTGCATACATGGTGTTTCGTGTGTATTCATTTTCTAGGACTGCTGTAACAAATTACCAAAGGCTGAGTACATTATGACAACGGAAATTAATTTTCTTACAGTTCTGAAGGGCAGAAGTCTAAAATCAAGGTGTTGGTAGGGTTGATCCTTTGAGGGAGAAATGATCCCAAGCCCCTCCTCTCATTTCCGGTGGCTGCCCACAGCCCTTGGAATTCCTTGGCTTCTAGACTCGTCATTCCAAACTCTCACTCCATCTTCACATCACCTTCCTTTCTGTGACTGTGTCCTTTTCTCTTATAAGGATACGGTCATTGGATTTAGGGCCTACCCTGATCTAGTGTGGTCTCACCTCAATCCTTACCATAATTCAATCAGCAAAGACACCATTTCCTTGGTCGTATTCTGAGGTTCTGGGATGACATGTATTGTGGAGGGACAGTATTCATCTAATTTTATTTTTTCCAAAGGAAAACTAATGGATTCTGTGGTTTTCTTAGTCTTTCCTTTCCTCACAAGTATGATGTGTTTGCCACAGATTAAATTTAGTAGGTCTGGTTCAGGACTGTGTTTTATTCCATTGATCTATTTGTTTCTTCTACACCATCTCAGTTATGATAATTTGAGGTGTTTTGATACATTGTAAATTCCTCCCTCCCCCCAGTGTTCTTTGTGCAAATATTTCTTTGCCATTCTTGCACATTTTCTCTAATTCACAAAAGCTTTAGAAAGAACTTACTGAATCTATTAAAAACATATTAGGATTTCCATTGGAATTGTATTGAATTTCTAGATCAATTTGAGGAAAATTGATAGGTTTACAATATTGAATCTTCCCTTTAGGATCATGCTCTCCATTTTTTTAAAAATTTTTTTTAATGTTTTATTTATTTCTAGGAGAGGGAGAGAGACAGCATGAGCAGGGGAGGGTCAGAGAGAGAGGGAGACACAGACTCTGAAATAGGCTCCAGGCTCCGAGCTGGCAGTCAGTACAGATCCCGACGTGGGGCTCGAACCCACGAAGCGCGAGATCATGACCTAAGCGAAAGTCGGACGCTTAACCGACTAAGCCACCCAGGCGCCCTGTTGCTCTCCATTTTTTAAGGCTTTTGTGTCTTACAGTAAGGGTTTGTAGCTTTCTTCATACAGGTCTTGCATATTTCTTGTTAGGTCTAAAACTTGTAACAGATTTTATAAGTTATAAAATTATAAATTAAAAATATATTAAACATATATTTAAAAATATATTACACCTGAAACTAATATACTACTGTATGTTAACTCTACTGGAATTAAAATAAACATTGTAAATGATCCTCCTTTTCTATTATATTTTCTAACTGATATTTATTTGCTGGCTTATAGAAAAGCCATTTAATTTGGGTATTGATCTTTTTTTTTTTTTAATTTATTTCTAGGAGAGAGAGAGAGACAGCGTGAGCAGGGGAGGGTCAGAGAGAGAGGGAGTCACAGACTGAAACAGGCTCCAGGCTCTGAGCTGGCAGTCAGCACAGAGTCCTATGTGGGGCTCGAACCCACGAACCGCGAGATCATGGCCTAAGCGAAAGTCGGACGCTTAACCGACTAAGCCACCCAGGCGCCCCAATTTGGGTATTGATCTTGTATCCAGCCACCTTACCTCAATGATTTTATTCTATATTTTAGCTGATCTTAGTTTTTCCTGATAAATTATTATATTCTCTTCCTTTTTAAGATTAAAATCTTTTTAGAAGACTCACATGTGCGCTGTTTATTGGCCAGGACCCCAACAGTAGAGTCTTAAAAAGCAGCAGATTGAGTGAACACGGTACTTAAAACTGAAATAGAAGAAAATACGTAAAGATAAACTCATCAAGCCCCAGATGCCGCATACGGAAACAATGGACTTAGAACACGAAAAAGAAGGACAGTGGCAGAATCTTGACTAGCAAGCGCTTCCTGGCCTTTATATTGCGGTGGTATTTAAAATCTTCCAAATCCTCTAACACCCCTGCTGGGCAGCTCCATCAGTTACCTGACAGCATGGGAGTTTGCTCTGCCTGCTGGGCAGCTGTATTTCAGTATGGCTCATAAGTCAACAGTTACCTCAGTCTTCAGACTCACAATTAATAATCTGTCAGGTCGGCCCCAGATAAGTGGTGACTCTCCGCTCCCCATAAGCATGCACTAGTATGCTTGGGGCTGAGGTTCTTGTTGCTATATATAATGAAGTTTCCTTCCCAAATAAGGCTCTTAAGTCCTGGTAGCTAATTAGCTTTCTCTGCATCGTTTTTATTTTGGCCATTTAGATTTCCATCCAGTCTTCTTGAGATTAATTAACTCTTGGGGTGAGAATTGCCTGTGTATGGTAAAAGACACTACAAACTTAGCTTCACAAAGAATGGCTCTTCCTTTACTGCCTAAACAAGTTCCAAGGCCCTACATAATTATAGTTCACTAAATAGGTTAATAGAGCTCAGCCAATAAAAAGAAAAAACTAGATACTTAAATAGCAGCTTGAGTTTCTTATGAGGCCCACTTTAAGGACAGAAACTGAATGCTAATAAGGATAGGACTCTTACCTTTTTTTTTGTTTTGAGAGAGAGAGGGAGAGAGGGAGGGAGAGGGAGAGAGAGAACACATGCGCAGGGGAGGAACAGAGAGAGAGAGGGAGACAGGATCTGAAGCAGACCCTGTGCTGACAGCAGAGAGCCCAATGCGGGGCTCAAACTCATAAACCGTAAGATCACAACCTGAGCCAAAGTCAGACGCTCAACCGACTGAGCCACCCAGGTGCCCTGGGCTCTATTTTTAAGGTCAAAGTTACCAGAACACATAAAGACCTTGTCTGTCTGTGTGCCAAACTGTGTGCCTGTGGACAAACCCACTGGCTCCCAGTTAAGAATTCCTTCCTAAACAAGTGATAACCCACTTTGAAAGATCATCTGTAATAATTAAATATCAAATGACTTCTGACTTCTGAAAAATGAGGCTTGTGAAATACTTCTAAGTGAAATATCAATATTCAAGATTAATTTAAAGCATGATCTCAATCACATATATAATAAATGCATATAAAGAGAACTGAGATGGGGGCGCCTGGGTGGCTTAGTCGGTTAAGCGTCCGACTTTCGCTTAGGTCATGATCTCGCGCTTCGTGGGTTCGAGCCCCGCATCGGACTCTGTGCTGACTGCCAGCTCAGAGCCTGGAGCCTGTTTCAGTCTGTGACTCCCTCTCTCTCTGACCCTCCCCTGCTCATGCTGTCTCTCTCTCTCTCCTAGAAAAAAAAAAAAAAAAAAAAAAAAAAAAACCATTTAAAAAAAAAAAAAGAGAACTGAGATGAATTCTACCAAGATGTTATTATCTGAGAGTAATCTCTCTCAGTGATGGCTTTATTGTGATTATTTTCCATAGTAGGCATGTTTTCTTTTTTTTTTTTAATTTTTTTAACGTTTATTTATTTTTAAGAGACGGAGAGAGACAGAGCATGAGTGGGGGGAGTAGAGAGAAAGGTAGATACAGAATCCCAAGCAGTCTCCAGGCCCTGAGCTGTCAGCACAGAGCCTGACACAGGGCTCAAACTCACGAATGGTGAGATCATGATCTGAGCCAGTCAGATGCTTAACTGTTGGAGCATGTTTTACTTTCTTTTTTTTTATTTTTTATGTCTTTATTTTTTTTTTTGAGAGAGACAGAGACACAGTGTGAGCAAGGGAGGGGCAGAGAGAGAGGGAGACACAGAATCCAAAGCAGGTTCCAGGCTCTGAGCTGTCAGTACAGAGCCCAATGTGGGGCTCAAACCCACAGACTGTGAGATCATGACCTGAGCTGAAGTCAGACGCTTAACCAACTGAGCCACCCAGGCACCCCTACTTTCTTAATCAGCTTAATGATAACCCAGCAACCCTCGGACCAACTAGGTGCCCCTACTTTCTAACATATTTTTTAATCAGAAAACTAAAAATACCAGCAGAGTTAAGTAGGGTAAGCAAAATAAACCTGTCATGGGATTATTTATGAGACATGAAGACACTAAAATTATTGCTCTGATAATTTAGGAAGGCAGCTGAATTTGTTCACAGCAATTTGCTGGTTCTAACTCATTGCAAAGGTAGTTTCCCTAATTGTTCAATGCCCTTCAATTGTTTTGTGTTTTTTTAACCTTGAGTTTAGAATTCACACTACTTTTAGTTATGTGTGCTGATCTGCAAACAAGGAAAGTTTTGCATTTATAGCAAAAGAAATAGGTGAAAGTGCCTTAAAAATACAAAGCAGCACACAAAGGCAAGTACTACATAATCAGTTCTTTGTGTAAATTATGGTTTTATTGACCGAGATCATTATCACTGTGTACAAGAGCAAAGACTTCCCTGTGCTATGCAGCCAGTGGCCACTGTTTGTAGAAGCCATGTGCTTGGGGTGTGACTATGCCTCGCAGACTCAGTTTGCTTTTGCAAACAGTGCAGGATGAAACAGAGAAAGCTGCCGCTGAGAAGCTGGCTAAGGCCAGGCCTAGATCTTCTTCAACCCCATAGATGTTCACTGAGAAGTTCAATATCAAAAAACTGTGCTACAGGGATACCAAGATAAAGAATAATAGTGCCTTGGGGGGGCCTGGGTGACTTGGTCGGTTGAGCATCTGCCTCTTGGTTTTGGCTCAGGTCATGATCTCCTGGCTTTGTGGGTTTGAGCCCCCCGTCAGGCTCTACGCTGGCAGCCTGCTTGGGATTCTCCCTTTCTCACTGCACCCCCCCAATCACTTGCACTGTCTCCATCTCCCTCAAAATAAATTTATTTAAACAATAACAATATGAGCACTGAGTGTTATGTGGAAACTAATTTGACAATAAACTATTTGTAAAAAAAAAAAAAAAAAACAATAATAATAATCCCTTGCCTGTACCCGGCATGTAGTTTACATGTATTTTTTAAAATCTCTCATCTAATTCTCACAACCATCCTGGAAGGTAGGTAAAGGAACCCATATTTTACAGAGAGGTTAAGTAGTTCTCCCCATGTCACACAGCTTCTGTGTAGCAGAGCCAGTACTGGAACTCAGGTCCTCTAATCCTGACCCCTGCGCTATGTGTCATGGCTGCCTTCCAGACTGACAGGCCCTGCCTGCCCATCAGAGGAATGCTGTTGAAAGGGGCAACAGTGCAGGGCCATACTGATCAGGTATTCTTATGCAGTGCAAACAGGTGCAGGAGAAAGAAGAGGAAGGCAGTTAACTTCCTCCAGGCCACATGCTATCCTAAGAACAGGGTTTGTGCCATACATCGTCAATGCAGTGTGGCTTTTGATGGTGCCAGGTTAAAAGGGAATGATGTTCCATAAAGGGCTGTCTCTTTCTTTCTCTTTGTACACCTCATTTTAGCTCTGTCTGTGTTGTAAAGCCTCTTCCTCTTGTTCACTTGTGAATTCCGATCTCTGGATCTGTATCGCTGTCTGTTTTCCTCAGTCAAAGGGGATGTGTCTTGGCCTCTTTATTCCCTGTAATTCCCTTTTATTCCATGCTGACCTTGGTCTTCCAGTAGATCTTCCTGTGCTGTACCTTTCTCTCCATGTTCTTCCCATCATGTTATTTCTCCATTTGTCCTTCTTTGTCCCTGCTTCCAATGGCACTGTTAGAGAAAATAAGTGCAGTTCTAAGCAAAAGAGCTAATTTCAGAAAAGTTTCATTTTCTGTTATTTTATATATATATATATATATTTAATAGATGGGTGGATAGAGACCTCCAAATATCTCTTTCAGTTCAGTTCTGGAGCTGGAAATGAAGATGTTTCATGTGTGAATCTCAATTGCTTTTCCTTAGGTCCATTTTTCTGGAGAGGAAGGAAATGTCCTTGGTCAAGGGTAGCAGCCGGCACATCACGTATCTTAAGGACACTTACCTGAGTATTCTCAGAATCTCTTACAAGTAAATGTGGTATTTTCAGTTTAAGGCTAGAGAAATCAGAGAGCAGAAGGGGAGAGGGTTCTGCTAACCTACCCTCTAATGGTATCCAAGTTGGGGTTTAAAGGAATGGGAGAGATAGGGTGGAAACCAGAGAAATCCTACCATAGCCCTCCCAAACTGGGAGCTTTATAAATTCTTATTCAAGGTGTGACATTCTGATTTGGTAAATGAGTCTTATCTTGGCTTCTAGTAACCCAAACTTCACTCTCCAAACCCACCTAAGAAGCATAATTAAAAACTCCTTAAATCCCAACTCTATAGCGTGAAATCACCCTGAACTTGAACCAGGAGCCCTGCGTTCTAACGTGAGCTTTGCCACTTCATACAGTGACATGTCAGCTTACCATTCTTCACTGAAGCTGCTTCATCTATAAAATGAAATATTTTCATTGGGTTATTCTGAGAACCAAGTGAGATGATATATGTGAAAGTGATTTGCAAAATTGTAAAGGTATATGTAAATATGAGATGATGTTAATAATAGCAGCATCAGAGCCCAGAAACTACACTCCACATGTTTAAAATTGTGAGCAAACATGGGGCGCCTGGGTGGCTTAGTCGGTTAAGCGTCCGACTTTTGCTTAGGTCATGATCTCGCGGTTCGTGGGTTCGAGCCCCGTGTCGGGCTCTGTGCTGACTGCCAGCTCAGAGCCTGAAGCCTGTTTCTGTTTTTGTTTCTCTCTCTCTCTGACCCTCCCCTGCTCACTCTGTCTCTCTCTCTCCTAGAAATAAATGAAAAAACATTAATAAAAATAAAATTCTGAGCAAACAATTAGGAACAGTGGTTATTAATCAGAAACTGTATTGTGAAAAACAACTACTCTTTCTGTGCTTATCAAGTTTGAAGGCCGTGTAGTCATTAAGCACACTGACCTTGAAGGCAGAAAGTAATGAGTTCAAACCCCAACTCTGTCACCAGCAATGTGAACTTGGGTAGTTTTTTCATTGCTCTCGGTCTTATATTGCGCACCTGCACACACACACACGATAATAGATTCTTTGTGAGGATCCAATGAGATAATGCTTGTAAAATGTTTGATAGAGTGCCTGACACATAGTTAGTATTCAATAAAAGCTTTAAAAAGTATCAAATATTTCTTGAGCACTGGCAATGTGCCAGGCCTAACTTAGGAAACAAAATGAAAAGATGTAGTTCTGTTTCAAAGAGCTAACAACAGTTTGGTGGGGAAACATACATACAAATGGAAAACAACATGCTTACTATTCAAATGCAAGTGGTCTAAAGGAAAGGAATATAAAAGGAAATTTATATTGGGGGTGCCTGGATGGCTCAGTCAGTTAAGTGTCTGACTTCAGCTTAGGTCATGATCTCACAGTTTGTGGGTTCAAGCCCTGCATCGGGCTCTGTGCTGACAGCTCAGAGCCTGGAGCGTGCTTCAGATTCTGTGTTTCCCTCTCTCTCTGCCTCTCCTCGACTCACACTCTGCCTGTCTCTCTCAAAACTAAAGAAAACATTTAAAAATATTTTTAGAAAAAAGAAAGGAAAGGAAATGTATAAATATGCCTGGAAGAAACAGGTAGATAGAAACCTTCCTAGTGAAGGAAACGTGACTCAAAACTTTTGAAGAGTAGGTAGAAGTTTGTATTTGAAAAAGGCTTGGAGCTTTTTATTTGGCTTTATCATTTGCCACAGGGCTTGAAAAGCCAAGTCTCATGTTTATGCTTGTTGGCTTTCTGGTGATTCAAGCTTAACATTCTGGTGACTCGATGAGCATGGTGTTGGAAACTGATTTTATGTGCTGTTTTCTGTATGTGAATCATCTGTTGTTTTGTTTTCATTTCATAGAGCCTGTACAACTTCTTGCATAGGGAATAGATTGGTTCCCACCAAGTTTTGGCCTCCTTGGTGCATGTCGCTGATCCCTTTAAGGAGAGAAGGCAGGGAAGACTGGTAACCACTTGTCCCTCTCTGGAAAAGCTGGAGCCCAGAGGTGACTGGGGTAAATAGGTAGGGAACAGAAAATGGAATGCACAAGCATTTGTCCTGGGACAGTGAAAAGTTTACAGAGAGCTGTCCTTTGTCCGCGCAAATGTGAAAATACAGAAAGCTTTGTATTGGCCAGATACCTTGCTACCAAATTGGAGTGTCTTTTTCAGTTCACCATGTATGTCAGCGATGAATTTGGGAGTTGGCGATGTTGCTCTAAGTGGAAGAAATTTCATATTTTCCTTTGAGTATTCTGTTTCCTTAGTGTTGGGCTGAATCCCTCAACAGTGCATAAGATGAAAAAGCTGTGCTAACTCTATTATCTGCTTCTGTACCAGTAACTGCCATGTTAGACATTTAATTGGCTTCTAACAGGAACCATCTGTTATCTTACCAAAGTCATAGAAGCATAAGAATTTAGAACTAGAAGAGCCTTAAAGAGCTTGTAGTTCAGCCTCTTAATTTCTCAAATGAGGAAACAGTGGCCCAGAGAGGCTGAGCCCCCACTGTTTCAGACAGAGGCCTTTCAAGTGGCTTTTGTCAGCATTCAGTGGTGGAAAGAGACCCACAAAACCTTTCCATTGCAATAGGCATAAATGAATTCTCCCCCCCCTCACCCCCCTCCACATATTAGCTGCGGAAGATGGAAAGGAAAGCAAAGTAAAACTGGTTAAGTCCCAAGAGGGACAGATGCCAGTGATGTTGAAGTTAGTGTATTGGCCCATGTGGCTGGTGCTGAGTGAAAACGAACCGTTTCCAACCCATTCAAGCTTAGGGCACCTGGATGGAGAACTTCCAAATAAGAGAACATTGTCAACAACAACAGAACAGTCCCGGAGACTGGAGGGTATCCTGACCCACAGGGAAGAGGCGGCCCCGCAGTACCACGGAAGGTGTACAGACCCGCTATTCTGCCTCGCTAAGTAGATTGAGAGAGGACCCGCTGGATTCCGTAGAGGGGTTTAATGGTTTTAGGAGCGACCCCCCTGTGGAGGAAACGGAGCAGTTGGCAGGACGCGGAAGAGCCATCTCTGGCCTGCAGAGAGGTCTTTTCCTTAAGACTCCTCTTTGGACGCAAAAGTGCTTGGGAGATAAGCCAGGCAGACAGAGGGCCACCAGCTCACCGGTCCTCTCCTTTCTTCTGCCCAAGAGAGATGGCCCGGCCCGGCCGGAGGGCTCCCCAACCCTGGGCGTGGGGGGGTCTCGACCGAAGGGCATTTTCGTACCTGGTTTCTCCCCTCTGCCTGGGGCTGGGGAGCAGAGGGCTGCGGGCGGGTGCTAGGCGTTTCGTCTGTCGCGCCGGCGGTCTGGGAGGGAGGGGACGCGTCCGCGGTGACGGAACAGAAGCCCCGAGAGCCTCGGCCCTTCCCGCCACGGCCGGGGCCCCGCGGCCGCTCGGGAGGCGGCGGCGAACGCTCCACACCGCTGGTTCGGGGCGCGGCGTCGGCGCCCTCGGGACCCTCCGGGCCGCAGCGCGCCGGCCGGGGGACGCCGGGGAAGCCTCGGGGCCCAGGGGCTGCGGCGGCGGGGAGACCCCGCCCCGGCCCGCCGGCTCGCGCCTATCGCGGCCGCCTGCCTGGTCACGCGGAGAGTGGCGCTGCGGGCTCGCGGCCAGCGCCCGGCGGCTGCCGGAGTCGCGGCGGGGCCGGGGCCGGGGCCGGGCGGGGGCGGCGGCGGAGGGCGGAGGGTGGAAACGGGGGCGGGCGGGCCGCGCCAGTCGCGAGCCGCGCGGAGCCGACCTGAGCCACGCGAGGCGCCGAGCGCGGCGACCGACCCCCGAGCACCCATGCTGCTGACGCTGGCCTGGGGCTCGCTCTTCTTCCCGGGGCTCTTCGCGCTGTGCACCTGGGGTCTGCGCCGCGCGCGGCCCGCATGGACCGACATCGACTGCGTGATGATCAGCACCAGGTACGGGCGAGGCCGGGCGCCGTGCGCCCCACCCGGCGCCCCGACCCGCCGGCGCCCGCCCCCTGCGCCGCGCCGAGGGCGGAAAAGGGGGGCGACAGGAAGCGAGGGGGCTGCCTCCCCGGTGCCTCGCCCCTCCGGGGGCGCTGGCCGCAGCTCTCCCGAAGACCCCGGGCGTGCCCCCGGGAGCGAGAGGGAGCCGGCTGGAGGGCGCCCACGCGGGGCAGGACCGGGCGGGAAGCTGCGGCCCCGGGGTCGGAGCGCGGCGGCCGCGGTACCCTCTCCCTCACTCGGTCAGCGCCCGGGCCGCCTGCGGGGGGAGGCAGGTTGAAGGCGTGAGCTTTGTGCAACCCCCCGGACTGGATTTTGTTTTTCTTCTCTGCCGCACGTTAGGCTGGTTTCTTCAGTGCAGGCTGTGTTGGCCACCGGGTCGGGAATCGTCATCATCCGCTCCTGTAAAGACGTGATCACGGACAGGTAACGCCCAATGCCAGGTGAAAGCAGCCCCAAAGACTTCGCCGAAAGTTTTCGAAGTTTCCTTATTCGAGCGGATCTCAGGCGCTAGTTCTTTATCAGCACACGCTTAAGGGAGCTGATTGATGGGAAAAGCTTGGGCACCATAATTAGTTCCCCCTCCTCTCCGTCCCTCTTTCAGCCTTGCCCACTTAGGAGAAAGTAAACCGAAGACACGCCAGTGAATGACAGGGTCTAGGACTGAAGGTGGCCATTGACCCAGTTCTTTGTGAGAGGTGTTAAGTGTGTGAATGACTCGGAAGTGGAAGTCTGGCTTTTGGTTATTTTCAGTGATTTCACTGGGGTCCTGTTCTGGAGCATTCATTGGCCAACGTATGTCCAGTGTGGGTAGCAGAGATCCCTTACGTGGAAAGGAGCGAATCTGCCAACCCTCTCGTACGGTTTGGCTCCTGTCGTTCCTCTGGATTTACTAAAGGCAATGAAGAGATTTCTAGTGTTTCAGAAAACTGACTTGTACGCCAATCACAGCTCAGTCCAGAGGCAGGTCAGGAAAGGTGCATCTAGTGAAAAGAATCATAAAGACCAGTGTGGTTTACTTTGTACAGTGTTTAGATCGCAGCGATTGTGCCTCCCTCCCCCGTTTTTCTAAAAAAAAACCTTTTTTTTCCCCACCTGCCTTCCCAAAATCACTCTTCCTTTTTTCCTCAAGAGTGATAATCAAACATTCAGGGAGAGTCTCAGAGCCTCTTCTAGCCCCTTTCTCACGCTGAGCCTTCTGAGAGCCCTGCTTTTCATCTGCTGAGACTGAATGTGATGGAGCGAGAGCGGGGCGGCCACCTCACTGTGACCTGCAAACTTCGCGTCTGGTCTTACTTGGGATTAGTGCTGCCCTGTGGCTTTTGTGCTTTTCTTCCTATGCCTCTTTTCGGACAAAACCAGCTATCTGCAAGGAATTATGGACTGTGCGGACAGAAGATAGGTCAAGTGGCTTTGACTGCGTATCCCTCAGGCTAACAGCATTAGCTTGGCTGGGTTCCGTTTTTATTCTCTTTGGCCATTTTCGAGGTGTCTGGGGCTAACCTGAGGGTGTGGGTTCCTGCAGTGGAAGCTGAACCACCCGGGAATGTGGGGACACAAAGGAATCTGGACCCAAGTTGCCTCTTTCCCGCTTTGGGCCTTGATGCCCTGGCCTGTCTTGTAGTTCAATGGGCAAAGTAGTTTCTTACTGAGTTGGAGGAAGAGGAAAGAGTTAAGAGCAAACAATAGATAGATAGAAGGTGAAACTCATCCAATCTGTATCTCCGTTACCAGAACTTTCAACTGACCACAGCACGTTAGTCAGATCAACTCTTTGGCCATTTTCTGATGGTGCAACGAGTTCCCTCACTGTCCCCCGTTTGTCACATCCAACTTGAAACCAGCCTCCTTTGCAAAGATTAAACTGACAGATGTGACTGCAGCATTGTCCTGAGCTGACAGGACAGCAAGCAGCAAGCAACCACTAAACATTTCAGAAGATGCTTGCACACCATTAATCGTCCGTTCGGTAGCCCCAAGGTGGTGCCCCACACCCCCCCACACCCCCGTCAGAAGCCCCAGGTGTTCAGTGGAAGCACACCTGGGTTTGGTTTTCAGTTTCCTCCTTTTGTGTATCTTTATGCCTTAGATTCTTTGATCACACAGTGGAGATAGACACATTTCTGTGCCCTCCAGCTTTACATGTATGCATATGGATTTTTTAAAGTATTACTATTTTTTTTTTGAGGGAGGGAGAGAGAGAGAGAGAGAGAGAGAGAGCGAGCGAGCATGCAAGTGGGTGGTGTAGGGGCAGAGAGGGAGAGAGAGAATCCCAGGCAGGCCCTCCACCATCAGCAGGGCCCGAGGTGGGGCTCTATCTCATGAACTGTGAGATGGTGACCTGAGCTAAAGTCAAGTGTCAGATGCTTAACCAACTGAGCCAGTCAAGAACCTTTACCTAAGGATGTTCTAAAGGCACTTAGATCTTCTTAAAAACAGAGTCCTCGGCAAGCACTGCAGGTGATTCTGAATTCGGGTAGTTTGAGAACCAGAAAACGAAATTGTTTCTTCTACCTGACACACAGGTGCTCAGTAAAAATTTGCTGAGTGAAGCTATTCCTTCTCAGCATAGTGTATGGTTTCTATGTTGATTTTTTTCACATTTCCTGTAAATATTTATCATTTGGGAACAAAATTGTAGGAATTAGAGACCTCTGATCTGCTCTGGGACAGTGATACACAGTCTTTTAGACTCTGCAAATGTTGATTCAACCCCTTTGGACAAGCGAATGGGAACACTGTCTTTTGTCCCAGCTTCCCGTCTGGTATCTGACCTCCGTAAGGTGGTCCTTAGGCTCTGGGTTCATTTTCAGATGTATTTTTCTTAATGAGTGCAATTGGGATTAGCCATAGAATGATAAAGAAAATGGCCAGGGTAGCTTCCCAGAAACTCCCTAAAGTGGGGTTGCAAGCAGATGCAAGAGGAAACACCCAGCTATTAAGCAACTAAGTGGAGTCAAACGGGAAATATTTGATTTGGCATTTGGGACACCTATCTTCAAACCAGTTTCTTGGTGAGGCTGTTCTGTCATTTGGAGAGATATCGGTATCAAAGTCAGCTTATATCACAAAATGCCAGAAAGCCCATTAGAAATGAGGAGCTAAGTCAGAGACATAGTGACAGCTGGGTCTGTGGTGCCCAGTGGATCCAGGTTTTCTGCCTCTGGCACTTACGAATTTGCCCTGTAACTCAGAGAAGATTTTTCACTCACCTTATCACCATCAGCATCTCCACTGTAAAGTATTTGGAGTAAAAGACAGCTGATTAGGTACAAAGCTGAAGGGGATGTGTTTGAGAAGAGGTTGGCTTTGCGCTCTCATAATGGAGATCCAATCCATCATTATTTCATGGACCATTCATATGCTTTCTTTTAGGCACTGGCTTGCCCGGGAGTATGTCTGGTTCTTGATTCCGTACATGATCTATGACTCCTACGCCATGTACCTCTGTGAATGGTATCGAACCGGAGACCAGAGCCGCAGACAGTCCCTCACCACTTTTCAGAGCTTTCTAAGTAAAAACCGCCTCATGATCACGCACCATGCAGTCATTCTGTTTGTCCTTGTGCCAGTGGCACAGGTATGGCCTCCCAGAACAGCCACCAGCAGATGCGCTCACTCGTTTTCTCCTGTCACACTGGCTAGCTTGACTATCACCTCTGACTAATGTCTTGCCTTTTCCTTTCCTGCTGCACCCACTCTCGTGGGCCAGCTGCTAAAGCAGTAAAACCTCCCAGGCAGACCCTGCAGGGGGAAAAAAACCAAAAAAACCTGAAATATCCGTGATCCTCCTAACCCATATTACCCTTTATGCAACCCGCCAGCCCTCTGTGACTCCCAGGCCCTGTCAAAGGTTCTGTCTTTAGTTTATACAATATGAGAATAATATAAAAGACAATGCAGGGCAGCATAAAATTGTTTTAAAGAAGCTAGAGTAGCTCAGTCAACTGGTTATTTGCTCTAACACTGCCGGAGAATACTGTATGCACTATTTTGAGATCACGAAAGCACACTCTCAAAGCAGAGAGCCTGCTGATTTCTCCTCGGGTCCATTTCCCCACAAAAACCCGCCCAACAAGGAAGAGGATGGGAATGCTGGAAGGAAATTAGTAATTCCTGAGTGCCTCCCAGGTGCCAGGTGCTTGTAGCTTTCTACTCGTGATTAGAAGTTACTAGAAAATAAGTAGATATTATTGGCCCCGTACCATAGGTAAAGAAACTAGCTCTCCACTATTGTACCCAGTGTTACTAAGTGACAGAGCTGCTGTTCTATGCTATCCTGGTTTTCTTAAGAAGATAAAGGGAGTGGCAGAGTACATTACATTCTTCAAGAAGCTTCTCCTGATTGCTTTGGGGCCCTAACATCCAGCACAGGGTCTGGCACATACTTTGTCGAATTAAACTGGCTAAGTGCCCTGGGCATGACTAAGATAGATACCCAAAAGTAGACTACAGGGCTCCTTCCGGCTGACACTGAAATTCAGGAAAAGCTTGGTGTGTGATGCAATCAGCCAATCTGAAGTTGCCTCCAGATTCTAGGGATTTGCCCGTCAAAGTGTCACTGCTCTGGAAGCAGCAGCGCATTCACTGGGCCTGTACCAGCTCATTTAGC